AAAGAATGAGAAACGGGACCTTTATAGCTAAATGGATGTATATTGAGACCATACTCTTAAGTGAAATAAATAGGTCACACGTGTAAATACCGAATAGTTTCTCTATAAGGATGAAAATGATTAAAACAAATAATTGATAATTTGAAATAGGAAGAAAAGGTCCAAAGAGGTAGGGGAAGGGGAAAGGAAAAATTATGAGAAAAGAAAAAATGGAAATGAAATCTATAGAAATAGGGAAGGGCAGAGGGGGTGAAGGGGGCACAGGTAATGGGGAAAAAATAAGAACCAAGATATATCATGTACAGGTACAAGCACCCAATGATAAATGTAAACGAATTGTATACCTAAAGTGTACCAATAAAAGAATTTAAAGAAAAAGCTGTGCCCAAGCCAAGCATGGTGCTATACACGTATTCCCAGTTACATGGGTGGCTGAGGCAGGAGGATCCCAAGTTCAAGGCCAGCCTAGGCAACTTACAGAGAGCCTATCTCACAATAAAAAAGGATTGGTGTGTAGCTCAGTGCTAGGGCATTTGCCTAGCATTTGTGAGGCCCTAAGTCCCCGACTTATGAACAAGTTCCATTCAGGGAGAATTATTCATAAGTCAGATTCATTCATAGGCTGACAAAGTGAGTCTTATATAGTACATCTGTGAAAGTTTGCGACTTGAATGTTCTTAAGTCGGGGACCTACTATATAACAAAAAAACAAAGCAAGTAAGTGACCCAAGGGTTCCTGGGTGGAGTTCAGGTGGTGAGTGTGCATAGGTGAGGCCCAGACAGTGGAGAGGCTTCTGTGCAGCTGGGGAGTTTAGAATTTACCCACAAGAGGGGACCCTCTGATAAAATGTGGAAGGAGAGGACAAGTGAAGAGCTGCAGGACTTGTCAAAGCCAAGAAAAAAACAAATCTATGACCTGCATACCCATTCAAAGGTAGAAAGGATTTAGCAAAATACATAAGACCAAAAATTAATGTGACCTGGTGCATGAAGCAGGTAATAGTACTAGCTCATATAGGAAGTGCAGGAAAAGGAGTACACCTTTGACACAGAAAGAAGTCACATGCCACTTCAGATGTGACGAGTGTGACTTGGGACATTGCTGGAGGTGTGGAGCTGGAACTCGAAGATCTGGGCTTGGTGATGTGGAGCTGGAAGTTACTGATGTAGAAGCAGGGTTTTATTCCAGTCATTAGAATGAGAAAATGGGGAACCTTGGAGAAGACCAATAGTTGAGTGAGGCAGGAAACTTATGAAAGAATACTAAGGAGGAGAGAGAGTGCTGTGTCAGATGCTGCAGAAGCCCAGTAAGAGGAAAGTACAAGTGTCATTTTTAACCTTGATCAGAATGATGATCTCTGTAAGATGGTAGGGGCAAAAGGTAAACTTCAGAGAGTTAAGTGACAGGAGGAAAACCAGACTAAAGGTTGGACAGACATAAGTCCTTTAGCTAAGGGGAAGGAAGACTCAAGATGTGAGATCAAGTAAAGACAGGTAAAGATGTAGATGGTGTGAAAAGAGCTATGTTTTCAGGAAAAAGGGAGCCAAGGAAGGTCATGTGGTTAATGAGGATGTAAAAGTGAAGAATGGGAAATGAGTATTGAGTGGAGTTGTGAGGATCCAGCTGAAAAGACAAACCATAAATATATACTAGTGCCAAGTTAGTTTTCCTACATTTCACACTTTGAGCCCATTTGTAGGCAGAAGAGTTAGGTATTCAGAATAAGTTTGGACTGCAACATCAAATATAAGTGAAGTCACTAACTTTTTTGGTAATTATCTGGGGTGATGTATCCCCCACAAGCAACACTGAGGTTATGGAAACTTTGAGTCTTAGCATTCCACAAATAAAACTCTGCCTTTCTTAAGAAATACTGACAGCCTAGCTTTGGGGCCTCAAGGAGGCAGGAAGCATCATAGACTGTTTTAAAGATCTGCTGTAGAAATGGAAGTATATGGACTGCATGGGTGGGACATTTGCTTTTGAGTCTCAGAAATACAAGGCATTGTCATAATCACCATAAGGACTTCAAAGCTCAGGCAGTGATCAGGCTCTTTATCTTTAGAATGGTGGACATATGAAACAAGTAATGCAAATTTGTAAGACATCCTTACATTACTGAGCAGTGTGAATTTGACACCTATTTTGCCATGGTTTAGGAATGGCATTTTAAAAGGGTATTCTGGGAAGACATTTTTGGTAGTCATCAAAATCATGCCTCCAAAGTAAATAGGTGGAATGGCTTTGCCTCTAAACACAAGTCATCTTACTGGTTTTTATGTAGCACTAAAAACCTTAGTGGCTTAGCAAGCTCAAGTAATTGCCATTTTTTTTCTTTTGACTCAGATTACAGAAGTAGAGCCAGCAGGGCATTTGGACTCCAGCACTCAGGACAGGCTCACAGCACTGAAAGCAGTAACAAACTTTGGTGCTCCAGTTGAAGTTTTTGACTCTGAAGGTGAGTGGCTGAGACATGTTGCTGGAAACATTGAACAACATGAGCAGTTGAGACACTGCCACAGGTTAACGTGGCCATGCACCACAGAAACATCTTGGCCAACCAAGTTAAATGAATGGTAGAAAGCCAGGCATGGTGGCGCACACCTATAATCCCAGCACTTGGGAGGCTGAGGCAGGAGGATTGCTACAAGTTTGAGGCCAGTCTGGGCTACATTAGTGAGCTTAAGACCAGCCTTAACTACATAGCAAAACTGTCTCAAAAAAGAATGGTAGAGCTTGGCTGTGGTGCTGGTTTTATTGGAGGGGCTTTACACCCTTGGGGGGTGAGACTAAAGAACAAATAGCCAAGCCATAGAGCATAGGATTCAGTTTACAACATAAGATCATGCTCAAGTGTGCCTGGGTTTTCATCAGTGTGTTCTTACCCCTCAGAGGCTGAAGTGTTCCAGAGGAAACTTGATGAGACCACAAGATTGCTCAGGGAGCTCCAGGAAGCACAGAACGAGAGGCTGAGCACTAGACCCCCTCCCAATATGATCTGTCTCCTGGGTCCATCATACAGAGAAATGCACCTGGGTATGTTGGGGGATGCTTAAAGGAAACCCTTCTGAGTAGTGACACCACCATAAAGTAATGCTCAGATGAGTACCGTGGATAGTGTACTTTACGCATTTATACATTTGTTGTTGGGATTTTTTAAAAATAAGGAACCACTTTTCAGTACCTGGAATTTCTTTTTCCCCTAGCTGAACAAGTGACCAATAATCTTAAAGAACTTGCCCAGCAAGTCACTCCAGGTGATATCGTGAGCATGTATGGAATACGAAAAGCAATGGGGATTTCCATTCCTTCCCCCATCGTGGAGAACAACTTTGTAGATCTAACAGAAGGTATGTCCCTGCTTTCCTGGGAGAGCGAGGGGGCTGTTGTGAGTAAAAGTTGCATCAGTCCTTTCCCTTCAGATAACATTTGAGACCTTTTGTCTCTGAGTTCTTAAGGTATAAAACTACTTTTCATTTTCTATCTGTGTAAAGAATCAATAAAAATTGCACACATTTGCCAAAAAAGCTCCAATAATGACCTAATAATACAACTTTCCTTTAACCTTGACTGTGATACAGAAGAGCTATCATTTCTGAATGCTAGCTTCATCTTCATTTCCGATTAAACTGGAAAAAACCGCTGAGCAAAGTGTTGTCTCTTTCAGATTTGGAAGAACTTAAGAAGACTGATGTTGCTGAGTGTGGACCTGACAGGAGCTGAGGCTGTTATTTGATTATATATTATGTACATATTTTTTTCATTCTGAACTTGGAAATGGTTTTCAAAAGATACTATTTGTAAATTGTGTTTTTAATTAAACTTTGGAACAATCAACTTTAATGTTCCAGAGATTGGGATTCTATTAGGTAATAAAGTTGAACCTGGGGGCCGGGGATTTATCTCAGTGGTTTTGCTGCCTGCTGCGCAAGCCCAAGGACCCGAGTTCAGTCCCCGGTACCAACAAAAAATAAGCCCTGATACATTTAAAAAATAAAGAAAGAAATAAAATAAAGTTGAACCTGGGACTCTTGATATCGTAATAACTAAGTTACCCCTTGACCTTTCTGCAGGCTTTCTGAGGATAATGTGACCCAGAGAAGACCTCAGATCATTGTATCATCCCCTAAAAGAAGAAAATCCTCAAAATCATTGAAATTCCTCATTTTTCACATTTGACACACTCCCTATTAAAGAAATTATGACTGAGTAATTCCTAACTTACCAGGTACCATCTCGATAATTTATCCAAAGAGTGTTCCTTATGAGGAAGGAATGGGGCTTGGAGCTGTTGCCATACCTGGGCGGCATTCTTCAGAGCAGTGCTGATGCTGCTTGTGTTTCCCCAGCCATAGCATAACTAAGAAGCTCCTTAAAAATAGCCCCACCCAGGGAGATTTTGTCCTTATACCATGGAAACAAACCTAAAATAATTTTAGGATTCACCAGTATAGTTCTGCTCTCTACCTGATGGGAATGATATCCTTGTGCGTAGTAATTAGGGCCCTCACCACGCCCCAGTCACTAAGCTCAGATGAATGGTGATTCTTCTGAATCTACTTCAGGACATAATCTGTTCAAAATAAAAAGCAAATATTGGACTGGGGGCGTAGTTCAGTGGTAGAGTGCCTGCCTAGTATGTGTGAAGCTCTAGATTCAATCCCCAAAACCATAAAATAAGTAAATCAAAGAAAAAAAATCCAAGATGTATATAGTCTTAACTCTGTGGACAAATTAATGCCCTTATACAGTGCCTTTTGTAACACACCCAGAGAGGAAGCCGTTTTATATTCTCTTTTTTTTTGAGACAGGGTCTCACTGTGTAGTTCAGGCTGGCCTTGAACTCACTATATAGGTCAGGCTGGCCTCAAGCTCACAGCGATCCTCCTGCCTCAGCCTCCTGAGTGCTGGAATTACAGGCATGCCCCACCATGCCCAGCCCATTTTATATTTTCTTGACTTGAAAATTAACATGGAACAAGAACAAGGAAAGGAAAACTGATTTTCTTAAGAAATTTAAAACAACTAATTTAAAAACCTACTTAGAATATTATGCTAACAGTTCAGTTTGTTTTTATCAAGTCTAGAAGCTAATCTCTCAAATACAATTTAGGCAATACTGGACTCCGGTAAACTGAAGATTAATAAGATAAATTTGGAACACCTTAGGACAGTTTTTCCAGATTGCTAATATAATGTATCAAGAACAGCCCAACACTGATAGTTTATAAAAATGAAACAAAACAATGTGACAGATCTATAAATAATCTTACAGGGAACAAACCCTAATCACTTGCATACCCGACCTCAAAGCATATTTCTGTATACTGATGTGTTACAGATACAAAAGTATGCAGCAGGTAAGTATCATCTTTTCTGTTAGGAAATTTCCTTAATAAGTAACCAGAAAGACTTAAGGAGTTATTTGCCATAGTCAGGCCACCTTAGGGAGAACTCTTAAGCCAGTCTTTAACCCAATAGAGAGGGTCATTGTTGGGAAACATTTGTTCCTGCCAAAAGAAAATGACACTTGCAAAGTTACTTGGTAATTGAAAAACAGTCATTAAAAGAAACAAGTGATTCTTATGGTCAGTTAAACTATAATTTGAACATTGAAAACTAAAAACTTATAAAACATTATCTGAGCACGGTGCTTTAAATGAGGATAAAATGCATGAGTGGTGACCAATTTTTAAAACTACTTGCTGGGGGGCCAGAGATTTAGTTCAGTGGTTCCGCTGCCTGCCTCACAAGCGCAAGGTCCCAAGTTCGATCCCCGGTACCAAACAAAACAAAACTACTTGCTGGGACTTCTACCGAAGGAAGAGAGTACCTTGAATGTTGCAAGAGTAGAAACACAGCTCGAGAAGCCCATGCACTGATCCATGTTTACCTTATGTCAGCAACAGGAGCCCTCCTACCCCAGGAGCCCCCAGCTGGGCAGCCCTGGCCTATTAATTGGGAGAGCACAGATTGCAGTCCAATACTCCCCTGAAGTTGGCCCTTTATGTGAAAAAGGGGTGTAGAAAAAAGCAATTTAGGCAAGGCTTGCTGGGATTTTTGCCATAGAATTCCTTTACAGAGCAAGTGTTTTGAATGCCTACTGATTTCAGTTGCATATGACATAGCAGGGCTGCAGCACCATTTTGCAAATTAGAATCAGCCCCCCTTCCTCAGGCTGGTGAGACAAGCACACAGGCCCATTTCGACCACCACCCCTGCCTGCACACTATTCTGCAGCAAGGGTGGCAGTTCATCATGGCCGCTGCAGCCCTGTATAATTAATCTTTTGAAGGCTTCTGCAAGATTTTCTGTATAACTTCAGGGGGCTCATGGCTGGCTGCTAGCTATGAATCCCTTCGATGTAGTGACATTTAGTGGTGTTACCAGTAGATGCTCTGGCAGCAGTGAAGTCAGTTCAGAAAAGGAACAGGCAGGCAGTTTGGTTTGACTTCTTCCAGCTCTCTATGGAGCTGAACCATGGTAAGATACCATCTCAAAGCCAGCTTTTTACCTTGACTCATTTGGGTTCAGAGAAAATATCTCATCTGTCAGAACCTGGCTTCCTGGGTGGGGGAACCTTGATACATCTATTGCTGAGTAGATCCTTCTAGTTTTGAAGCTCTCCAGAGCCAGCTACATGAAGACTAAAGAAAAGGAAAGATGTAGTGCAGCTTGTCCAAGGTCTCTCCACATGGTCTCCATTGCTTCCCACTGAAATAACACGAGATAGTTAAAAATGCAGGGCAACCTCAGAAGTGCAGAAGTAGTCAGGGCAGAACTAAAAGGTGGTTCCTTGCTCTTAAGTTTTCAGCGTACTGAACATGTTCCCAGGGGGCTTCCATCACAGCTGCCTGACTCAGAGCCAAGGTTCACTGCTCCTTGCCTTCTTGCTGTGAGCCCCATTCCCCCACAGCCAGCTAATCCCATTGATGGACACTGGACAGTAGTCCTATTTACACGTACCCTGGAGATTTTTGTCCAGTATCTAAGAAGTCATTAACAAGATTAAAACCCCTATTAAGAATGTATCTATTTAAAACACATCCCAGAGATGACAAGAAGTAACAAGTGCCCACTGTGAGTTTTTTCTCTACTGGTTGAAACCATTTGTAAAATACCCTTTTCCAATTCCACACCTATGTGAGAAATTCAGCCTCCCATGGCTTGTCTTGCTAGGGAGAAGGGAGGCTCCAACCCATGCTAGAGAACTTGGCTTAGTCCTCCTTTGACCTAGAAAAGGTGAGTCTCCCTTGTGCGTGCTCACAGGCTGCCAAGGTGGATGTCTGTCTTAGTCATGGTCTAAGATCACCTCCACAGCACCTGGGAACAAAATTCCAGCCACCAGCACAGTGGCATCAGCATCCCAGGAATCATCTTCCAGCTGACCTGGAAACTTTCAAGTGACAGCACAGAGGTTCTGGCTGCACCATGTGCTATAGCTAAGCAGTTGCTTCAAGCAGGATGTGGTGCATGTGACTGAGACTCCTCTGGTGCAAATCCCTAGCAGCCATGCACAGCCATCTGCTGGGGGGTGGTGATGGCCAGAACCATCCACGGCCTTTGCAACTGGCATGGGACCAGCTTCTTGACCTGCTCTGGGAGGAAGCCAGCTTCTCACCATGTTCTGACCCCTCCAGAAGCCTTCAGTTCAGCCCCAGCCCCTGAAACTTGACAGTGTCTGTGCACACAAAGTACGTCCGAAGCTCGCCTTTGCCTTTGACGTTGATCAGTCCCCGGCACTCACAGTAGTAACCCAGGCCCTGGAGGATGGTGCATGTCTCTTCAGTAACCTGAGCAGGGAAGGAAGCGGGAAGAAAACCACTGTGCTAGAGACAGGTAGTAGGGGGCCAGCCAGCAGCATACACGTCTGCTTTGTCTCAAAACTGTGGTGGGTGAGAGTGACACAGCTGAGTGCTGGTAGAGCCAGCTCTTGGGCCCAGGACCCCTCTCTTAGGGGGAAGGTCTTTCCCCTCAACCACACTCTTCTGCAGTGGGTTTTTACCTGGATTTTCCCAAGTTCTCCAGTGCTCTCCATGCGGCTGGCAACATTTACTGTGTTCCCCCAGATGTCATACTGAGGCTTTCGTGCCCCAATCACTCCAGCAATCACAGGCCCATGGTTTATGCCTAAAGATAATGTTTACAGTTGGCACATCCCAGAGGCAAAGTTGCAGGTCACAGAGCCCACCTCGAAACCACAAAGAGAAAACACCACGAAGATCAAGGTCGGGTTGGGGCTGTGTCCCTTGCCTGTAGCTGGAGATGATCATCTCAAGCAAGGCATGCCCTGGCCAGGCCAATTCCAACTCTCCAACATTCAGGAAGCTGGGACTTGTTAGTCTCTGCCAGTCTCCCTTTCAACAACAAGTGGGCTTTAACCACTGACCCACTGAGCTAACAATGACTACTTAGGTTTAATAATTCTGCTTTGCCATCAGTGTGTGTGTGTGTGTGTGTGTGTGTGTGTGTGTATATATATTTTGGTACTGGGGATCGAACGCAGGACCTTGCGCTTCTGTGGCAGGCAGTAGAACCACTGAGCTAAATCCCTGGCACTATCAGTATATTTTAAGGTCACCTATTTATACTTGCGACTTTGGTACTTCTGTTTTCTATAGTGATATATTCTTACTAAAATTTTAGGTAACTACAAGAGCAATATGCAGAGAAGTTCAGAAAAATTATCCAGCCTCTGCACTTGTCAGATCAGAGAAGTTTCTGAAACTTGGTAGGAGATGACCCAATACAGTGTGGCCAGGAAGATTGGGAGAAGCCATCCCGGGCTCCCAGCAGCTGGGCCCTCACCAACTCGGAGGCGGAAGGAGTTGAAGGAATGCCTGTTGATGCCATCCAGCTTGCTCATCAGGGCGATGCTGAACTCCACCAGGACCCCGATGTGGGCATGCTGCCGCTCCAGGTCCTACAGGACACAGGCCATGCAAAGTCTTATCTCACAGACTCAGGGGTGGGGCTGCCGGTGGGCAGAGTCACCCTTCTCCACCAAGGCACCCACTCCCCACCTCCAAACTTCTCCAGGCTGAGCTATTCAGGTGTCTTTACCCTCCTTCACAGGATGGGAGAGAGGAGAGCCCCATTAAGTGGAAAGTGACAGGTCTGGAGGCTGCCTGTTGTGTTTCCCCTCCCAGGTGCTTCAGTAAGTACCTGGTTCTCATGCCCTGAGGGGACACTGAGCCCTGCCGCTGCCATGTAGGTGCTCCCGATGGTCTTGATCTTCTCTACACCACTGAACTTGGGCTTTAGCAACAACTGCAGGACAAAAGGAAGATGCTACAGTTGGAGGCACACAGGTGCTCAGAAAGGGCGTGGGGCTCCACATGCAGATGTGTCTCCTGGGGGCCCTTCCAGTCAGAGCTCTCGCCCAAGTGCAGCGGGAGACACCTCTCCCTCGTCCCTCCCCCGATCCCTTTAAAGGAGCAAATACTCAGCTCAGATTCCAGATTCATCGCCTGCAGCAGACTTCAGCCCCAACTAATGTCCTCTGAAATGGTTGATAGCTCCAGCATAGCTGGAAATCTGCCCCTCCTATGAGGACCTGAATCTAATTTTAGCAAGAGACGTTAACAAAGTATTGGCTGAGTAAATCAATAAAGACAAATTTGTTCCTTGTATATTCTGTAATGTGTGTCCCCTTAAAGAAGCTGCCTTGTTTTGGGTCTGAAGCCAGGGCCTCATGCATGCTAAGCACACGATCTGGCTCTCCCGGAGCTACATCCCCAGCCCGACCTCACCTCTTTCATGGCAGTTAGGCTGTCCCAGCCTCCACCCTGCATTTCCTGGCCAGGTGGAAGCCCAGAGCCCTCACCCCTCCGTGGGCTGGGCAGAGGCTATACCTCATCAAAGTCAGCGATAATCTCGTTTAGCAGGCGCAGACACTCCAGCCCTTCTTTGTTGACATCACACTCTGTGTAGAACACTTTGAAATCCGGCACGGACGCAAACATGACACAGACACAGTCATAGGACTGATGGTACCACTCCTGGAACAGGGTGAGGGGAAAATAGGAACTTATGGCCACTTTGCCTCTGGAAGCGCTGGGGACAGGCATGGTAGCAATCTACCCAGTGAGCTTTCAAGGGAGCAGAGGACTGGGCAGTGGTTCCCCACCCAAGCCAGGGCTGTGAGGATACGGGTGGTGGCTCTGAATCGGAGGGTCGGGAGGTCAGGCATAGGCTGGTGGCACCCTGGGTACACATACCCCTTAGGAGATGGGTCCTACATTGGGCAAAACACTTCTCAGTTTCCTTAACTGGAAACCCCATCTGTGATGTAGAGCCCAGGTTTTTACTACTAACTGCACGCTGTCTACTGACGCAGGGAGAGCAAGCCAGGCAAGCCTACAGCAAGCAGCTGTGGCAGCTCTATAGCTCTGTACTGCACCTGGCAATGCATCTGTCCCTTGCTCTCCCACCCCAGTGCCGGGCTGCACCTCGTTTAGCTTGTCGCCAATGAAGTGGGCAGCCACGTGGGCTGGCAGCACATTCTCAAGGAGGAGGCGGTTCACATTCTCCATGGTTTCAAACTCCTCGTGTTCCTTCTTGAACTTCTTCTTCCACAAACAGTCCAAGCGGCAGTAATAGTCAATCTGCAAACTGGGACTAGTCAGTGCCTGTCCTGGGGGGTGACACCCACCCAAGGGGCTGGCAGCCACAGCTGCAATCCTAGGTGCCCACCCTGAGCTGTGCCTGCCATGTACCTCCCAGCCCAGGGATTGGAGCTTTCATGAAAAGAACTCTGCTGCCCACAGCCCATTCTGTACCCCATCTTGCCTCTATCAGGGAGGAGAGACCACGAGGCTGGACTGGGACCCATATCCACCTGTCTGGACAGCATGACAAGGGTGATGTAGAACAGGACCAGGTAGAAGTTGATCATGGTCTTCAGATCCCTCGCTGAACAGCAGTGGCCACTGTGGATGCAGGGGTGACAATCAGCCCCTGCTGACAGCAGGTGCACAGGGCCAGAACAAGGGCGAAAGGTGGGCAGACCTCACTGAGGGACATCTGAGCTCACTCCAAGGGACCAGAATCAATCACAGAAGGGTCTGAAGGCACCCAGGAGCCCTCAAGAGGATGGGACAGGGACTTGGACAGTGGCATAAGGACTTGGCATAAGGGGCAGACAGTGAACAAACTTTTGCTTGACAAGGCACCACGACAAAACAGGTGCCACAGCTGGCCACAGAGGAGACACGCAGCAGCATGGGGCCCTACCTGGGGGTTCTGTTGGTCTTGGTGAGGTTGCCTGGGCAGTCGGTGTCAGTGAGGTTGCCCAGGCTGCGGCTGCAGCATGCAGAGAGATTGAAGAGCACCAGGTAGGCCACCAGCGCCACTGTCAGCAGCAGGACCTTCAGCTCCAGGCTCATCCGCAGGAAGACAGAGCAGGCAATGAAGCCCAGGATGCAAGTACAGCTATAATACTAGGGAGATGGAGGTGTTCCTCAGGAGGCAAAGGTCACCCCACCACATCCTATCACCAGGATCCTCATGTCCAGAGCAGTTACCACAGGGAGACAACTGACTGTGGCACCAGCAGAGTGAGCAAGGGAAGCCAGGGTCCTGGTGCTACACTCTTATAAGTAAAACTACAGAAGCTGGGCTCAGTTAGGGGAAAATGCTAATAATGCCACAGGTGCTGTGTGGGTCTCATAGAGCAAGGTCCAGTGAGTAGTACACACATATCTGAGTGATCCTGTCCCCTGATTGCTTTCTAAAGCAGATCTCTGCCTCCACTACTCTCTTGCTCAGGATTGTGCTGTGGCTCCATGCTGACCCCAAGATAAACACTGTGCTCCTCACCCTGGCAGTCCCTGACCTTGACCTGGGTCAACCCGACCTCTCTGGCTTCATCTCCCAGCTCCCCCTGCCACGATATAAACCCTGGAAACCATACTGAGGCATGCAAGCCTCAGCTCCTCACACTGTCCCTTCTTCCCTCCCTACCCCAAATCGCTCAGCCCTTTAGAGTCCTGCTCAAAACTCCCTGACCTCCCCTCTACACCCTGTGAAGTTCAAGGTCCTCATTCCACTTATCTTAGGCCACTCCAGGCACAGGCTGTGATTTGGTGTCAACCTGCACAGGGACCAGCACTGGCTTTATCACCTCTGAAGCTCAGGTGTGAACCTCCCTGAGCTGAGTCCCCACTTCCCTGCCCACCCCACAGGGCTGAGAGCAAGCATTCAGACTTGGCCCAGCCCAGGCTTTTCCCCAGCTCAGCCAGCCAAGGCCCTGCCTTCTGCCCTTCCCAGAGACACTGGACTCACTCCCCAACAACTGTGGTCTTGGGGCCCAGAACCAGTCTTTTCTTTCTTTCTTTTTTTGTACCAGGGATTGAACTCAGGACCTTGAGCTTACAAGGCAGGTCCAGTGCCACTGAGCTAAATCCCCGGCAAGAACCAGTGTTCTTAACACCAGAGCTGGCCCACTGGCAGGAGCACCCCAGTGAGGACACCTATGCCCAGGGGGCCGGGTTGAGCTCTGTTGGGGCCAGGTCAGACACACTCACCGGGAGAAGCTCACTGCTCCTCGAAGTCTCATTGCCTCCGGGCACCCCCAGGGCTTGGTCAGGCATCAGGGGCTACAGAGGAGACAAAAAATCCTCATCAGGGTTGGTCCAGGGGATGGGGAGCCTGTTACCTGCCACAGCCCAGAGAGATGAGCCCGAGACAACCACGGGCACCATGATGGCTTGAAGCTGTACCAGGCTCAGCGCTGAGCACTTTCCCTGTGGCTCAGGCAGGGTGGGGTGACCCACGCTCCCAGGGGCCCCTTCTCCCCTGCAGCCCTAGGGGCATGTAGCACTACAGGAAGGAGCTGGAGTGGGGCATAACCCATAATGAGGAAACTGAGTTCCAGGGACGATGAGACAGGACCTCCTCAGAGCCAAGGAAGAGGAATGTGACATCAGGACACAGGTGGCTCAAACATCTTGTCCTTGTGGGGTTGACCAGATAAACACCCTGGGTGTCCCAAGTCCTCGCTTGAAAGGGTGAGGAGCTCTGGGCCTTCCCTGAGGACCTCACAGGCCCACCCCCCAGAGCCTACAGGAGTTAAACCAGATGCAACTCTAAGGCAATGAGATCAGAGTCCCCAGGTCAAAGGCAGGCTCCTCCACCCAGAAAGGGTGCCATGGTACCAGGTCCCCGCTCCAGAACTGACCAGGTTGATGATGGCGACAGTGAGCAGGCTGCCGATAGTCAGCACAGCCAGGGACAGCCTCAGCAGGGGCCGAGTCTCCACCCTCTCAGAGATGGCCTTGAGCATCCCCTGGGTCGGGCAGCACCTCTGTGGAGACAGGTCGATTTACCCAGTGCAGGCAGCAGAAGGAGCATGGAGTCTGTCAGGGGTGCCTGGGAAGGCAGGACCCTTGGGAGAGGCAAACTGTCCCACGCAGGAGAGGCAGGCACCCAATGCCTACCCAGAGCAAGGCTCAGACCCCCAAAGCTCACCATGGAGGGGCCCAGTCAGCCCCAAAGAGGGAAGGAAGAGGCTGTGGGGCCAAGGACGCACAGCCCTGCAACTCAGGGCCCTCTCCACTCACCATGAACTCCGAAGCAAAGCATAGGCCTAGCACCAGTCCCAGCAGGCCAGCCACCAGCCCAAAGGACACGCCCAGAGGCACCATCCTGGAGAGGAAGAAAAAACCTAAGTGCCCAGGACCCCTCCCACAGCCCCAGTTCTCCACCGTACATTCACCTGCTCCCGCCCTGATTGCTATTCTGCACAGCCAGGGGGATCTTTGAGAACTGTGGTCCAAATGCCCCACCAATAATACACAAGCCCTGCCCAAAACATAAAGGTCAAGGTTAAATTATGTCCCCTGGGGCTAACTATGTAAGAACTGAGCATTATCACAAGCCTTTGGACTTGGGTCTGGCACATAAAAATGATATAAAAGCATTTCCTATTTTGTCTTTATTAAGTACACCCTAACCCTCAATATTAGTCTGTCCTTTGGACTAATGGCCCTTCTAGCAACCACTAGTGGCCAACCTTCGCTTCCCTCCCTCTGACCTCACCCCCATTATCCCTGTCCCCCAACAGCAGGAGTCTCAGGGGCTCCCAATCCAGAATGGTTGTCCTTGACAGGGAGCCTCATTTTCCCCACCAAAGTCTACCCTGAAAGGACTCCAAATGCCCAAGGCCAGAGTTGCCAACTACAATACCTGCAGGGTGCAGGGGTAGCAAGTGACTTAGAAGTGAGGGACATGGTGGGGGCAGGATAAGCACATTCTATTACAGGTAAGGGTTGGCAGCTCCAGATGTGGGGTCACAGCCTCTGCTCCAGCTGCAGGGATGCCAGGGTCTAAAGTTTCTGAACCCAGTGGGCCACCATCCTTCCCCACCCACTCACCTAGGCATCAGCAGGATGTGGACAAACAGGATGCAGAGGAAGACAAGGCTGGCACAGGCAAAGTCATAGCGGGCCCGGGGGATGGCTGCCAGGCGGTACTGGGGGCAACATGACTGTGAGGGCCACTTGCTGAGCCCCTTTCAGCCCCTAGACTCAAGTTCATCACCTTGAAAAACACTTCGAACCCCTCCTTGAGCTCTGTGCGATGTCACATTTAGTGACTTCCATTCATCTGCATTTGCAGTTCCTTTTTCAGGTTGAGAAGCCAGCCCCCCGCCCTTCCTACACCTAATCTGGGTACTGACTTTATTTCTAAGGTCCCTGAAGAGCTCTTGACCCCACGAACAGGAGCCAAGTGTGAGCTCCTGGTGCTGTCAGTCAGTCTGACCTCACCCTAAACCAGGTGGTAAGGCTGGGCCTGAGTCCCTGACCAGCAGGTGAGGGACCCCATGTGGCCCCAGCCCCATGAGGGCCCCTGCCACAGGTCAGGTTCAGGGGGTGTCCGAGGCTAGCAGGACCACCGGGCACATTTGCTGGTGACCTCCCCAGGGGGGCCCCCGTGGAGAAGGACACTTCCCTCCGATCCTGGCCACCCTCAGGCCATTCTGAGGCTAAGGACAGCGCAGGCCCCTGTCAGGTGAGGGCTGAATTACATAGGTGGTCATGTGTGCCACACAGTCACATGGAATGGAGAGCATGCTGCTACAGCAGACGGGACAGTCAGAAGCTCCTGCCAAGGCTGAGGCCAGACTTGGGGTTTTCCTCATTGGGAGGCCCATGCTGGCAGCCTGCAGCACTCAGGGGTCTCATCCACTGAGACTCCATCCTTTGATAGAACAAACGTCTTCCAAACCATGGGGCAGATCCCGGTGAGGGCTCCGGGTCAGGGAGTGAGGCCGACAGGACAGAGACCTGAGCAGGGGCTGCGCTGTACCTGCCCACCCCCCAGAGCCAGCTACAGAAAGTTCCCTCCCCTCCCTTCCCCTGGCTGCCCTAGGACTCACACCCCCTGCCCAGCCCTCACCTCATGCTCAAAGCCCTTCTCCAGGAAGATGGGCCCAAAGGTGTAGAAGTCGTCCGACTTGGAGCAGCAGGGCCTGGAGGGCAGCAGTGTGAGGCAGGGACCCAAGTCAGTGGCCACCCCAGAGAGAGGCTGCCAGGGAAGGGGAGGAGCCTTGTGGGCCACCAGGCTGAAGACACAAGGTGGGCCTGCTGGTGTAGGGCGGTTGTCTGGGGCCTCACCGTGTGGAGCTGAGACCCTCAATGGCTGACAGCATCTCATCATCGTAGGAGTCATCCTCTGAACGCCCTTTGGGGGACGTGCTCCTGGAAACAGACACCCTGACTATGTCATCCTAGGTAGCCTCATCTGCTCACTCAGAGGGCATGTGGATGGGGTGACTCCCTGTGGGCTTACCAGGATGCAGGGACACGGCTGGGGGTTCCATGAGGCCCAGAGAGGGCAATCGCCAGAGGACAGACTCCCGACCCCCAGTCCCAGGGTTGGCAGACACCCCAGGGGCCCCACCCACCAGCCCCACTGGCCTTGCCCCAGCAGAGGAGGGCCCCTAGAAGTGCTGGGCCCCGGAAATGCCCTGCCCTGAGACATGGTCTCGTCCCAGGTGGTCAGGGCCATCTGCCTGGAGGAGGTGACCACAGCAGAACTTAGGTGGGCAGAGCACGGCTGGACAGGGGAGGGGTGGCACACGCACCTGTCGGGGGTCCTGTGGCGCCGCAGAGGAATGGCCTGGAAGTAAAGAGAGGAGAGGAGATGCTGACCCTGTGGTTCCTCACAGCCTGGGTTTGTTGCCTAAAGCCGACCTAGCTCCCTAGAGCATCTCCTATTGTCTCTTCTTCTTCAAAAGCCCAGAGGGAGGTAGAGCAGAGTGCACCCATTTTACAGCCACATTGAAGCTCCTCCGCCCCCTTCTCAGGGCCCCCACCCAACCCTCTGAGTCTCAGGGGCACCTACCTTGGGTCTCCGCCCGTTGGGAACAGGGGTCTCACTACTGCTCACACTCTCGCGGTGGTTGAGGTGCGCAAAGGGCCGTGCGGCACCCCAGGACTCAAGGTAGCGGGTCATGCGCACTGAAGCCCGCATCTTCAGGGCTGCATCCCCTTTGGGCTTGGGGAGGTGCTGGCTGGGTGGTGGCGGCTGCTGGCTCTATGGGCAGACAGAGACACCAGTCTGTGCCACCTGCCCCCTCTGCCCATCCCTCTGGCTCTCCACAAAATGTAACCCTGCTAAAGCAGGGCCAGGGCCAGGCTGAGGGGAACCCCAGCTTATTCCCTGTCCCTGCCTGAGTTGGGAAGAGGCTGCTGGTCACACAGTCTGGTGCCCCACCCCAGAGCCTGTTCTGTCTGCCCAGGGAAGGGATGAGTTCAGGTCCCCACCCTAAGGCCCACTCGCCCTAAGGCTCTGGGAACAGTCGCCCTGGAGGCTGAAGGCCCACAGCCCCTCTCACGAGGCACCTCCCAGGGAAGCATCCTGCCCACCAGCCCACTTGTGGCCAGCACGTGCTCCCTCTTTCCTGTGGGGAGCAGTGAGGGTGAGGAGCAGCGCTGGCCTGCCTGGCCTTCCCAGAGCTCTCGAATGGCCCCCAAACCGTGCACCTGCCAGCCGAAGCACCATGCCAGGGACTCAGTGGCTTGGCCAGGCCATGAGTAAGGGGCCACCCTGCCTCCTCTTCTAGTGCCACTGAGCCCAAACTCCCATTGAAATGGCACCTGGGGTTTCCCCAAGCAAACCTGGAAAGGGGAGGGAGAGAAAGACCCCGGGCCAAGGGAGGTGAGCCTGGGCCACCCTGAGCTCCCCACCCACATTCCAAACATTCTGCCCTCCAGGAGTCCTAGGCCCTGGGCCCTGCCAGCACCCACAGAAAAAAACACCTAAGCCACAAGCACTAGCCAAGACAAAATAGCAACTTTCCCGGAAACGTCCAGCCTCCTTTTGGGATTGAAACACTTAAACCTTCAGCCCCAGGGAACAATGTGGAACTCAGCCTTGGTGAGGGTCCCAGGGTCAGAGGAAGAAGGTGCTGGGTCTGGGGTGGGTACATTTCTCTGCTGCCCCTTCCACTGCTGCCAGCACTGCCTACAAAGCCACAGTGGGTCAAGTTTAATGTCACTGAAACTCCCGTTTGAGCATCAGAGCTAATCTCCAGCCCCTGAGAAATAACCCTAAGTGTGTACTAAAGACCAGCAAATCTGAATCAAACTCACCTGTTTAGAACAGGTATGGCAATGGCGGGGGGCCACAGAGGGTTGGCACTGCCCATGGGTGCCCAAGGCAGCCAGGCTCACAGGATGACCACACCCACTGCGGCCACATGGAGCTGGGGGACAACCTCCATGTCCTCCGGGGGCTGCTTCTATACAGCACATTAGGGGCCCAGCTCCCACTTCTACTTCCCTAAACTCTCCACAAATGGAGACAAACTCCCCACCTGGTCCCCTCCAGGGGGATGTACTGGGGGGCAAGGGAGACTACAACAGGCCCTTCACACCTATTCAGTTTGCAACTATGTGAATGAATAGAGGAAGGTTGTTAGCCCATGGCTGTGGTTGGGCTTGGAGCTGTCTGCAGCTGCCTTTTCGAGATAAGCTCTGCTTCTCATCTCAAAGCCACCTGAGCAGCCACTCCATGCCAATCACCCTTCTGGACACATTCTGGGCATATGGCTGCAGGCCGGGGAGGGGGAGCTCATGGTGACAATAAACACAGAAAAAGGTAAATAAACAGGACCCTTTGGGGCCTCGGTGCAGTGAAGTCAAGACACCAGGAAGGTTTCCCAATGCTAACCCTACCTGAATGTGACACAGTAGGGGTCCTGGGGACATCAGCAGTATAAGGCCAGAGAAGGAGGGCTGAGTCAGGGAGTGGATGCTGGGGAGACTCACAAACTGCCCCTCCAAACAGGGCAGGAGAGAGGGGGAGATGGAGGGGGGGCAACATTCCTGAGCCCCCTCCAGGGATGGTTCATGGAGCAGCTGGCCCCCTCGACCAGAAACCCCTGCCTGTGCAGGTTGGGTGGGCAGCAGACAGACCCAACCCGCCTGGAGCCATCGGGAGAGGCCTGAGACCCCTGGGCCAGGCAGAGACACAAGTCAGGGCCAGGGACCCCAGAGCTTCCTGTTCAGGACCCGCTCCTAGTGATTCCCTGCCCTCATCAGTTTTTTTCAAAGCACGTTTGGAAAATCAGGGAATGTGGCATGCCCAGGAAAATAAAGCAGTGACTGCTACCGACAGAGGGCCCGAGATGGGACTGCTACCATGGTGGAGCTGACCTGGGTTCATGCTCTTCCTCGGGCGGGTGGCACTGTCCTTGCTGACCCCACTCCCTGGACTGCCCAGCCCTGCCCAGCCCCTCACCCTGCTGCCTCTGAGCCTCGTACCCGGGGGTCGATGACCAGGTAGGTCCGGATGTTCATTTCTTTCAGGTAGGGGTCCCGCTGCTGGCCCTGCCCGTCTTCCACCTCGTAGGCCTTGTCCAGGTGGCTCAGTGTCGCCTCTGTGATGTGTACCCGGCTGGAGGGGGTCACACACAGCGGTAGGGCCCAGAGAGGGCCGGCACCCAGCTGGGGATGCACAGCAGACAGGGACAAGCAGGCCCGAACCCTGGGCTGGCTCCCCGCACTGTCCCCTGCTGCCACAGCTGACCAGCCCTCACCCCTCAGCCCAGAGCCAGGCCCTGGCCTCTGACCCCACCCCACCATGCCTTACCCAGGGACTCCAGCTGCCTCCATCCTGTTGGCCAGGGACACATCGTGGGACCACACGTCGTACTGCCACTTGCGCAGCCCGATGACCCCACACAGAACGTTCCCCGAGTGGATGCCAACGCGCATGCTGATGTCCACGCCTGTGGCCTCCCGCACCTGCCTGGGGCAGAGTGGTGTAGTCACTCCACCCTAGCTGGACCCCAGGGCGGCCCACACTCAGGGACAGGTGGAGGTCCCAGGAATGGAGGCATGGAGGATGGGCAGCCTGGTAAAGCCACCTCCTCAGCGGGCACTGAGCATCTGTCTGTAAGAATGACAAATGACATGGCCACCTCCAGGCTCAAGAGCTGAGCAGGAAGGAGCAGGACCCAGTGCTCTGGTCATGGTAGCTCATGTCCATGGGCCTGTAAATCCATTCCTGGTGTCCCCACCTGGCAGCCCTGCTGGGTCTGAAAAGGCTGTTGGGGTGCACAGAGGGCCTGGGCACCACCTGGTACAAAGCAAAGACAAAAGACAGGCCCTGGGGTGCCCTGGACATCACTGGCATCACTAGGCAAAAGGAGCTCCAAATTAGAACTTCTGGGGGTTAAAGAGACCCCGAACATGAGCACCTCTGAATCCTGCTGACAGCACGTGAGGGGCAGGACACAGCTGGCACATGTCCACCAACAGAACTGGGATGGGTTGGAGCCAGAGAGCAAAAGGGCATCTGCACAAGGTTCGGGCATGCTCCCAAGGTCACACAGAGGTCACACAGGCAGTGGTGCTAAGCCAGGCCAGGACCAGCACTGACTCCATAGTGGTGACTCTCCCAGCAGCACAGGCCACTCTGGTGAGGCTTTGGGAGGTTTGGGGGACACCTGGGAGCCACAGGCAGCCCTACCATGCCCAAGTCACCTGGCCTCTGCCAGCTTGGCCCGAGACATCCTTCCCACAGAGCCCAGAGGACCTGGTGGGGAGAGGAGACCTGCAGGAAGGAGCCCAGGATCTCCCTGCAGCCTGAGTGCCAGTCCCTGACTCATGGAGCTTCTCCTGGGAGCATCTGACTCCAGAGGTCCTCCTGCTGCCTGCCCGGAGCCCCCTTCATGCTACTGCTAAGACTCAGTCCTGGGAGGGACAGTACAGAGCTTGCCATTCTCACATCGCCAGCTCTGAGCTTCTGAGATCTGAGGCTGGAGCCCCAGAAGGGGGCAGAGCAAGAGGGCCACAGAGCAGAGTTCGCTGAGGGACCCAAGCCAACCCCCTCCCAGCCTCCAGTGCATTCCCACCTGCCCATGGCTCTTGCACCTACTTAATGGCCTCGCATATGTCCAGCCCCATTTTCACACAGTTCCGGGCGTGGGTGGGCAGGGACACGGGCAAGCCCGACACACAGTAGTAGCAGTCGCCCAGGATCTTGATCCGCATGCACTCGTTGGCCTGCAAGCGAGAGGCCTGTTGGTGGGGAGTCTGAGGCCGCGCAGGCCAGTGAGGCACCCTCTCACCACCCACCAGCAGCTGCTTCTGAGCCTGGCAGGACTGGGGCCCCAGGGACACTGGGGGAACCCCAACCAAGCATCCAGGGGTGAGCGCAAGTGTTCATAAGGGCCTGTGCTCTATTTTATCGGGCCTTGTCTGAGTACCCACTCTGTACCTGGTGCTGGGCCAGGCAGTGAGAGAGCAGCAAATGAGACCAATGTGAAACCCTCAGTTGTGAGGCACACATGGTGGAAGGAGGCTGGGGTGGTGCCGAATACTAAGAGGAAGTGAAGCTTGGAGGGAGAGGAAGTGCCCAGGAGGCCAGAGGCTGCTTTCAGAAGGGAACATCTGAGCAAAGACCCAAAGGAGTGGAGTAAGCCTTGCCAGAGCCTGGAGGAAGGGCATTCCAGGCACATGCAAAGGCCCTGAGCCCAGCAAATTGTCTGAGACAACCAGACAGCCAGAGTGAGGGAGGAGAAGAGGTAGCAGGTACCCTAAACCAGAGTCAGCAAGTGTCAAATTCAGCCTAGAGATGGCCATGCTGCTAGGCTTTGGGGAGTGGAAACTGAGTAGAAAGGAGGGAGAGCCAGAGAAGGGAGAGGCTGCATCCTTATGAGAAAAAACCCAAGGAGCCCAGCAGTGCTGATTTAGGACCAGTCTAGAGGCTCCAGCCTCCAGTGTGCCCCATTCCCAGCCCTCAGCAAGGGGCGCCACCTGTATCCTGGCCTTGTGGGTGAAGTTTGAGGGACTCTGAGGAGCCTCATGCAGATATGAGTCATTGACTTGCAGTGCTGCTACGCCTGCTCATTGACCCTGGTCCCCAAGCCCTAGCAGCAGCCTTGCCCTCTGCCCTGACCCCCTAGTGCCCTCTTGCAGGGTGGCTCATCTGTCCCAGGTCTGGGCCCTGGCCTGTGCTCAGCCTCCCCTGGTCTGAGGCTGTCTGGTGTCACTGACCCAGCACCCTGGAAGGCACAGCCTTCCCTCAGTGTGTCTCTGCACCTGCCCAGCCCATGAATAGCCCTGTGGGAAGCCCTGCTATACTGTGCCAGATTGCACATGTTCTGGTGCTGGCCCTGGCTGGCACATGATGGGCACAGCGGCTTTAGTAGAGAGTAGGTGTCAGAGAGGAACTGGATGCCCAGCATGTCCCCTGACATCCTCTCAGGAAGACACACCCCCAGGCCTACCCACAACCCTCAAGGACTTAGGGGAGACCGCTTTCCCAAGTGGCTCCTCCACAAGCTGACTGGCCCTCAGTGTTCCTAACAGCTGGAAGTTGGAGGGCAGGGTCCCAAGGCCCTGGGCAGAGGTGGGTGTTCCGGAATCTGATCACTGACAGGAGAAAAGGCTGTGGTCTCCCTGCCTGTCTCTACCCGGAAACTGGATACCCAACCAGGAGGCTGCTCTTGCCAAGTTTCTCTTCCCCATAGGAACAATGGAGCCATGACTGGGGGTCCAGCGGGGGAGGCAGGGCTGTGCCCAAGCAGGTGAGGACAGGTCTGTGGACTTGTCAGGAAAAAGCCAGCTGTGACCTGAAACTCCACTCCCTGCCTCACATATGGCCCAATCTCTGGGTCCTCCCACCTGCTGTCTCCGAAGTCACACAGCTCCTGAAGACTAGTCAGGCCTCTGAGCCTCTCGGTCCACAAAGCCCAGGAAAGGACAGTCTCCAGAACACCCCTGGCCAGTGGTATCCTATACTGTTTGGTTACCCCTGTGATGGGGAGCTCACCCCCATAAGGAGAGCCCACTCCTGGTGAGGCAGTCTCGCCCAGGACTGAACATCTCTGACCATGAAAAAATTCATCACAAGGTGGGGCCCGAGCTTTGTCCCATCAAGTTCTGGACAGCTGACTCTCCCCAGTCACTCGGGGCTCCTAGAAACTGAGATGGGTGTGGGTACCAGCATTGGTGTTTCAGCTTTCCAGGCGATTCACATATGCAGCCAGGAGAGGGAGCCACTGTCTTAAACCCACCCTACTTGGCAGCCACTGCTTTGAGGAAGCCTGGCCTGACCACCTGCAGCTGGGCTAGATGCTCCCCGGACTCCCAGCCCCTGAAGTTCCATGAGCAACCTAAGGGCAGGCCCAGGCTCACAGGCGCCAGGTCTCTGGCCACTTGGTAAATTAATGAAAATCCCTCCTTGCCCAGTGCCCCATCCTGCCTGGTACCTGCCATGCTCCTCAGTATCCTGGGGACAAGTCATGCTCCTCAGCTCAGCCATTGTGCCGTGTCCCCGTCCCCTGAATACCTGGCTCCAAGTCACTCCGTGGCACACAGAGCTTTCTTTCCACATGCGGTTCCCCACCCAGAACACCATTCCCTGCACTCTTCGGATCTCTGTTTTAGGTTTCTCAAATTCTGCTGTACACAGGTTTCACCTAGCATCTTGTAAAAAGCAGGTTCTGGGTGAGGTGGAGCACCTGCAGCCCTCATGGCTCCCGGGTGAGACTTTGCATAGGGAGGAGGGAGCCACCTCCTTCAGGAGCTGAGAGCCCTGTCTGAGCTCCTGAGCCCCAAGCAGCCCTCAGACACAAGCTGCAGCCTCCCTGCCAGCCTCACATGGTGTGTGGGGGACAGGATTCTGGCTGCCTGGGCCACTGCACAACCCCACCTCTGCCTCGGGGATGCTAAAACTCAGCCAAGGGCCCCATTTGCCCCCAGTGCTGTGGCAAAGGTGGCACCACCCAGGCTCACCTTGGCGATCTGGTCAAACTTGCCGAAGAGCTCATTCAGCACTACCACCAGCTCCTTGGGGGAGCAGTCGCTGGCCAGCTGCGTGAAGCCCACGATGTCTGCGTAGAGGATGCTAGGGGCAGGCCAGGGTCAGCGCCAGGGTCCTGTGAGGCTCAGCCAGCCTTGGGCCCCCCTCAGCCTCCACAGGGACAGGAGAGATGCCCCAGCCACAAGGACAAAGCAAGTTGCAGAGGCCTCTCGTGACAGCAGGATGGAGTCAACCCTGGCAGCAGCAGGCCCATCACTGCCGATATGGGCAGGGGACAGATCTGGATCCTGCTCTCTTCCTGTACCCGGATGTTTGCCCTATGCAAAACCAGAACTAAAGTCCCCAGTCAGATACTAGGCCTGCTTTCTCAGGCCTACAGGATACCCATTCTACAGATGGGCAGACTGAGGCTCCAGAAGGAGACCAGTAACTCCCACCACATCTCTCTGCCCTGCAGCCTGCACCTCCAGGCTGGTCTGCTGCCCAGAGAGACAGCAGTGTGGCATTAACTTCAGACTCATGCAGACATCTGAGCGTGGAGGTGCTCATGGCACTCATGCCTGGACTAACTCAGCTCAGTGCACTCATAGGACACTCTGCACCCTTCTAATCAGCCCAGGGTAAGGGCAGGACTGGGAGCTTCACCTCCTTTTTGAGGGATAAGGGATCTTTCCCACCACTAGCTTGATTCTCTTATATCAGAACCTGATCTGATCGTACCCCTGGGGAGGCAGAGAGGTGACTGAGCCCCAGGGAGGGACCCCTACCTCCCAGCCCTATGTGGACTGGGGCCTAAACCTTCCAAAGAGCAGCGGGGCTGCCTGGCCAGGCTGGGGAGTGGTAGCCCCACTCCAGGGGACACCATGTACCTGACATTCTGGTGCCGCTTGACATAGAGGCTGTGGAAGTTGTTGTCAGGCATGTAGCGGCGGTCCCCGCCCTCCTTGAGTCGCTCAATGATGGCCAGCTTCATGCCCATGGAGATGTGGGCTGGCAGCACTGACAGCAGCAGGTTCTCCTGGGTACAGGTGGGCAGACCATTAAGGGGACCGGCAGAGTGGTGTCAGACAGGGTGGTGTCAAGCGCCAGGCTGGCCTACTTGGCCTCTGTTCTCCCTGCCCACCTTCCAGGTCTGCCCACATTGCTGGCTCATTTCTCTGCTGGCTTATGTCCAGCATTAACCCAGCTGGGTATACAGCTTCTCGTGTCTGTAAGAGCCCCCAGGAGTGGGACCCATGAGGGTCCATCCATGCATGCTGTTATGGCTTAGATTTTAAATCTTCCCCAAAGTCTCATGTGTCCCAAGGTGGAGCTTTCAGAAGGTAATTGGACCTTGGGGATGCTATTCTCATCAGTGGATTAATCTACTACTAAGCTCATAGCTCATTGTGCTGTTAGAAGGCAGAGCCTGTGTGGAAGCAGGGCCTGAGTAGAGGAAATGTGTCCCTAGGGGTTTGGAGTGTATCTCCCTCTCTCTGGCTCTTCCTACTCTCTCTGCTTCCTGGCCTCCATGAGGAGAGCAGCTTTGCTCCACCATGCCCTTCCACCATGCCATTTCTGCCTTGAATTCAAATAAACACGAACTGAACCCTCTGAAATCATGAGCCAAATAAATCTCTTCCTTTAGGTTATATGTGTGTTAGGTATTTTGTCCCAGCCGTGGGAAATTGACTAAGACAGACCTCATGTACCAAGAGCTCTACAAGCAGTTGATGTCTCCTGGGAGGCAAGAAGACTGGGCAGGGGCCAGGCATGGCTACAGGGGGAGTGGGGTTCTCACCTGCTGGCGCTTCTCAATACGCAGCTTCTTACGGATCTGGATGCACTTGACCGTGTAGGTGAAGAGGTCCCGGGAGGCATCCTGCATCTGGTGCTTGTGAAAAGCACCTGTCAAGTTCCCACACAGGAGGATGGTAGCATTGGCCAGCAGCTGAGGGTAGGCAAGGGCAGGGTATTCAGCCTGGCATGTCCACCCCACCCTGGCCCCAGCCCCTTGGCAAATGGGGACAGGTTCCCTTCCCATTCCTTGACTCCTAACCCATGCAGGTTGGTACTTCTCCTGGGACAGGCAGAGAAACTGAGGTCCAGACAGGGGCTGGTCTGCTCATGAGTCTCCGTGACCACAGGACCAGGCCTAGGCCCTGAGTCCACTGGGCACCTGTCTTGTCCAGTAGGGCTTGGGCATTGGAGGCCAGACACTTCCAAGGAGGTAGAAGCAGCCACCTCAGAGCCAACACCAGTCACAGGAGGAGGAAGGCAGACTGGCTGCCCATGATAAGAGGCATGGAATCCTCTCAGACATCTCCATGTTCCCACTGACCACGAGCAAAAGTTCACTCAACATACAGGCACAAGATATGGTGCCCAGGGCCATGCCCTCAGCCCATCAAGTCAGGACCTCAGGGAGACTAAGAGGCAGCCCCACCCCCCATATGGGCACCCTGGGCCAGCAGCAGGGGTCAGGGCCCACCTCAGGCAGGTCCCCAGCAGACTTGGAGGAAGTCCAGCCCAGCCTATCTGCAAGCTTAGTCCTCAGGTCTTCAGGTTCTAATCACTCTGACCACCCACCCCACCCTGGCCCTCAGCCTGCTGCTCACCTGCAGCCCTACCCCAACGCTGGGCACAGCGAAGCCACCCATGAGGGTGCCAAACACCACAAGGTGGGAGACAGTGGAGACCACACCCACAGCGATGGCCACCTGCATGCTGAAGGGCAGTAGCGTGTACACCACGAAGACCACAAACAGGAAGAAGGGTACCTGGAGAGGGCACATCAGGAGCCAGGGGTTGGCCACACTGCTTGGGCCTGGACACATCCCAGGATGGAGCTGACAGCAGGCCCCACAGCCTCTGGTCTCCTGGGGACAGCTCTCTTGGGGCCCTCTGTCTTTGGGCAGCCCATTACCTCTGTTCCCTTATGGCCAGACACAGCGGCAGACACAGTGAGCACAAAGGCCCATCCTGCACTGGTCCTCATTTCCTACATGCTGTCTATGGTGGGACTCTGTGACCTGGGCACCCCCATGCCCTGGCAGGCCCTGCACCCACCCTTCCTGGCCTTCAGCTATAGGGTTTCATGAGTCTTGCCCTACTCAGCCATAGGAGTGGCTCACAGACCAGGGCCACAGCACACTACTACTAGGCCCAGCCAAGCCGGGGACCCAAACTGGGTGAGAGGGAGCTCTCTCTTTCAGCTAGGGGTGGGTAACCCAGTGAAGAGCAGCCTGGGGGCTACTGTAGCCACCACTCCCCCGACCTAGGCAGCTGTTTACCCCAGGACGAACCAGCAGAGGAAAGCAGAGCCGGGAGTAATCAGGTCCGGCTACCCTGTGGGGCCCCAAGTCACTTCCTGGGCCCTTCCTGGCACAGGAGCTACTTGGTGCCTGTTATCCTGAGCTGGAGCTCCGTTCACTGTGAACAAGCGGTGGTCCCTCCAAATGCTATGGCCAGACCTCCAAGTGGACGCTCTTCCCACCCCAGCCCCATCAGCACAGAGAGCTGGGGACAGAAGCAGTCTGGGGTCTGTCCTAGTCACAGCCCAAAGCACCTGGTGCAGGCAGCAGCTGAAATATGGAGGCTCCCACCCACCCAGTTACCTGTGCCCACGCACAGGCCGCCCTCCTCCAGGCGCTCCAGGCCAGCACGTAGCCTAGTGTCACCAGGCAGGCCCAGGTGAGCAGCGCTGAGGCCCGGAGCCACCGCCGGACCAGGCACTCAACGTACACCAGCACATAGAGACCCACGAACACAGCCAGTGTCACAAACACCGTGCCCAGGACAGCCTGGTTCTCCGAGGGGTCCTGGCAGAACAAAGAGACACAGAAATCCTTTATGATCCTCCTGCTTCAGCTCCCTGAGTAACAGGATGACCGGTGTGTGCCACTGCTCCTAGCTGCACCTGACTCTTCAAGAATAAACAGAGAAGCCGGATGTGGTGGCACATGCCTGTCATCTGGGAGACTGAGACAGGAGGACTGCAAGTTCCAGCTCAGCCTGGACAACTCAGAGACTTAGCAACTTAGTGAGACCCTGTCTCAAAATAGAAAATAGAAAAGGAGGAGGTGGCCCAGGGCAAAGGCCATGGGCTCAGTTCTCAGTACTGAAAAAAAACACACAAAAAAAACCCCCAGCAAGTTCCAATGGATGCAGACAACAGGTTTCCCTCTCATCCTTGTGCTGGGAAGGGGCTGAGGCAAAGGCTCAGAGGAGCCTAAAAGACAGCCGTGCAGCTGGCACTGCACCCAGAGGTCCTGGTGGACAGCAGACCTAAGCTCCATAAGGGAAGAGGCCTGATCCAGGGCAGGCACAGTGGGCACTCAGTAGCCACCTGGGGAGTTACAGGAAGCAAGTGTCCAGTGGCTATAGACACTTAGGTCCAGGCAGCCCCACACAGGTCTCTGATAACACTCCAGCCTCTGATGTCTGCTTCTAGAACTCTCTACATTTACATTCATTAAAAAGAAAATGAGGCTGGGGATTTAGCTTAGTGGTTTCGCTGTCTGCTGCGCAAGCGCAAGGACCAGAGTTCGATCCCCAGTACCCAAAAAAAAAAAAAGAAAATGAAAAATGCAGGCCCCCATACCAGCAACATTTCAAGTGATCAATAGCTGCACACAGTAAGTGTCTAGGTCGGAGATGATGGTGTGGTGTCTGCTTGGGGGGCTGTAAGCAGGATTCGTGTGCCCGTGGTCTCAAATATTCAAGAGGCCGAGGCAGGAGGATTATTTGAGCCCAGGAGTGTGGGCTCAGCCTGGGCAACAGAGCAAGACATGTTCTCTCTTTAAAAAAAAAAAAAAAAAAAAGGACTCAAGTATGGTACCTCATGTCCGTAATCACAATATTCTGAGAAGCTGAGGCAGGAGGATTCCAAGTCTAGGCTGGGCAACTTAGCAAGACCCCATCTCAAAATAAAATATTGTTAAAAGAAAGGCTAAGGAGGTAGCTCAGTGTGAAGGCTCTGGGTTCAATCCCCTGTATCACTTACATACACACACATACACACAAAAGGGAAGAGGAAGAGGAGGAGGAGAACTGATACTGATCCATAGCCAGACTGGGCAAGGAGCTCAGGCTTTGCTTAACAGTGTCTGTCATGACCCCAGAAGTGAGGGAAGAGATCTGTCCACCACCCCTGATCCAGGTCTTCAGAAGGATCAAATGTGATGGTGGAGAAGATGGGGGTAATTAATTTGGCCCAATAAGTGTAGTATCTAAAGCCACCCCAGACTTCAAAATTCAACTCAAATTAGCCTGTCTTCCACCAGCCCACGCACTGTGGGTCACATTCACTGAGGAGGAAACAGAAGCTTCGAGAAGATAACAGTGGCCCATGGTCTCGTGAGCACAGGGCACCCATGCTGCTGCCCACCACTCACCCCGTGGCTGAAGGCGATGGCAATGAGTGCCACACAGGCGGCAATGGCCACCACAAGGAGCAGGAGCAGCAGCGGCCCGTGCTGGCTGGTGAGGCGGTACTTCTCATAGAGCGCGGCCTGGTCCGGGCCCTCCTCGCCCTCATTGAGGAAGTAGCGCCCCTTGGCCGGCATCCTCCACCGCTGGCGCTCTTCTCCCGCAGCCTGGGGGCATCTGCCGGGCGGCACTGTCCTCTGTGGGCCTAGGCCTCTGGCTGGAGAGCCCGGGCCTGCAGCTCCATGGACAACACTAGGCCCGCTCACTGTGCCGTTGGAGTCCAGATCAGGCTGACCAGACTCTTGGGGTCCTCAGCTCTGGGGAGACAAAGAAGAACCGGGATTTGACCTCACAGGTCACACCACCAAAGGGCTAGATTGGGGGAGAGTGGGGCTGAGCTGAAGCCTTCCTAGAACTGCTCTATCCAACACTGTAGCCTCCAGCCACATGTGGTATTTACAAGTGAATTCAAATTAATCAAAAGTAAAACAGAGAGCTGGATGTGGCGGCACATGCCTGAAATCCCACCACTCAGAAGACTGAAACAGGAGGACCATTGCAAATTTGAGGCCAGCCTGAACTTAATAGTGAGACCCTATATCAAAACACCAAATAAATAAATAAATAAATAAATAAATAAATAAATAAATAAATAAATAAATGTAAAAGTAAAACAGAAAATCCAATCCCTCGGTCACACACTATTCAAGGGCTCCTAGGCTACAAGTGGCTGGTGACTATTCTCGTGGGTGGTACAGACATGCAGCACTGGTATCACTGCAGAAACCCAAACAAAACAGCAGTGCTCTGGAAGTCAGTCACTTCCACGTGTGGGTCACTGACCCACCCGGATGCATTTTGCGCCTGGTGTAAGACTCAAATTCCCTGCTTTTCTAAGCGGACATCTCATCCCAGCAGTGTTTAATGAACCAACCATCCCCTGCCCACAGAGTTTCAGCAGAGCTGCCTTGGCCATAAATCAGATGAGTGTGGTATTTGGGGCCTGTTTCCAGGCCCCACTCTGTTTCCGTGGTCCCTGTGCAAATATCACACTTCCCAGTTTCTGGGGCTTTCTAGTGAGTCTGTGCCCTCTGTCCAGAGGATTCCAAACTGCAAACCTGGGAGCCCTGGGGCTTGGGAACTGCCCCAGGTCCCAGGCTAGACAGAGTGACAGAGAGGCACAGGCCCCAGCCTCATGCCCACTGTAACCAGGGCATTCCCTACATCTGTGTTATGTGCAGCTTCCTCATGAGACTGCTTTTTCTTAACAGGGCCCCTGACACAAATTTAAGGAGTCTGCAAACACTGCCCCACAGGAAAGGAAGCAGAGTCTCAAGAGGGGACAGAATGAACCTTTTGTGGTGATGTTGAGAGCACACTCCAGGGTTGCAGTGCTCCACCAGATGGGCTCTCTGCCCACACCTTCCCTTCATTAGTGCAGTCATCAATTCATTGAAACCATACCTAAGGCCTGCCAGCCCAGCTACCTGTGTGCCAGGCAGGCTCACTTTCTTCCTGGGCTCCCAGGCCCCAAAGGGAGAAAGTTATGCAAAAATGTGCAGTCCCTAGGCTCAGCAACAGGGCCAGGGGAAGCTGCCCTGCTTCCAGTAGGAGCTTTATGTTAAGGGAACAACCCGCTATCCAGCACCTGCCATACTCCAGGCCCGGCTGGGGCTGGAACCAGGACAGGGCAGATGGCAGAGGGCTGGCAGGGCTCAGGACAGTCCAAAGGCACAAACAGGCAGCCACCTGCAGAAGCTTCAAAGGAAGGCTGGTCCAGAGGAGGGACGGTGCCAGGCGAGCCCAAAGCTCCCAAGGCAAAAGCAGGATGCCCAGAGCCCCATCAGTGGCTGCTGAGGTCCCTGGGGCTGCAGTAGATGTAGGAGCCATGTCAGGCTCCACCTGCCCTGGGCCCTCACCACAGACTGAGGAACTAACAGGCCAAGCTCATCACTAGAGGTGGAGAGAGGCTGTCTGCCAGGTCCCAGGCTACTTTATGCCTGGGCAGGAGTCCACAGATTTGCCACCCATTTAACCAGGGCAACCCTTTGGGGTCAGGCCAAGGGCTGCCAAAGTGCCCAGTTTAGACAAGTTACAAATCTAATATCTACTTGAAATAATGATTTTTAAATGTTGGCAGATAATTTAAAATTTCTAAGTGGTACAGCCCACTAGTCTGCGCCCTCTAAACCTAAATGAGTAAGTATTCCACAGGGAGTACGGGCTGAGCCCCCACTGTGTATGGTCAGCCCTGCCTAGGTATGCCCAATCCAGGGAGCCCCTACCATAGCTGTCTGCAGGATTGAGAGCAGCAGCTCCTGTCATACATTCACACTCAACTTCATAACCTGTGGAAGCCAACTCAACTGAGCCTAGAGAGGCAGAGTGGCTCACCCAAAGTCACATAGCCAGAGCAGAAGTGGAAGGGCTGAGATTTGAACCCCGGTCTGTCTGCTCCCAAATCACAGCTCCTCGCCAGGCTTCCCCACTGACATCCCAGGGAAGCCAGCCAGATGCTAAGAGTGCATAAACAGCAACACCGCCAGCCCCTCTGGCCTGGGGCCAAACCCTAGTGCACTGGACCACCAGGCTGGGAACCCAAAGCCCAGAGGGACAACTCTCCCCAGCTGCTCCACCCTCCAGGTAAAGCCTCAGAATGCAGCCTGAAGCTGGTGCATAAACACACACTGACCCCACGTGCTCACCCCGTGCCACCTCAAACCCAGGATGCTGGCCTGTCTTCCAGGTGCACAGAGCGAGGTTGCTGGCACTCAGGCCATGGGAGCCCAGGCCTGGTAACCACTGCTCTCAGGATCTAATTAGGTCACTTCCTGGGCAATGGGCAGGAAGGCAGAGGCACAGTGGGTAGCCCTGGGTACAGGAATCCAGCCTTCCAGGGACCATGTCCAGCTCCCAGGATGAGCCAAGCTGAGCGAGGCAGGGCTGGAGCTGGGGCTGGGAGAAGACTCAGGAGTCACAGCCACGGCAGAGCCACAGGTCCGCTCCTCTCACAAGCCGCCCAGAAGCCAGACCCAGAGGCAGCCGCTGCAAAGAAGGTTTCAAGGTTCCTCTGTCCAATCACCTGCTCCTCTGCCAGTCATTGAGGCAGCTGGCAACTGAGGAGGGCCCCCTGAGGCCCTGGATGCAGGAACCCCTGTACCGATCTCTACACATGACCTGAGCCTCAGCTCGCACACCTCAGCAGCAGGGCGCTCATCACCTCTCTGGGCAGGCTCCTCCCTTCCTGGGCACCTCTTCTGGCTAGAAGTCCTCCCTTTGGTCCAGCCAAGCCTTGCCTCCCTGCCCCCCACAATGGTTCTGTCTGAACTCTAAAACCACTTGGGCAAATCAGGGCCCCTTGACCTGGGGGGAGTGTGCTCCCACAAGCCCTGTCATTCGTACCTCATGACCACCCTGTCCCCAGAGCAGGGCAGCAGCCCCATTTTATAGAGGAGGGGGCCCCACCATGGTCCAGGTTGAGGAGGTTGTCCTCCACTCCCACTGGCATCTCTTGGTCCCTGGTTCAGAGGTCACTGCCTCCGGTGGCTGTTCACAGTCCCTCAGTCACACCAGTGAGAACCCTCTGGACATTTGCCACCCAGGGAAGGAGCTGCTGGCAGGCCCTGAACCACCCCAAGGAGAGAGCCCACTTGAAAAGGAAGCCAGTGTGGAGAAGCGGAGAAAGATGGAGGTTGACAGCATCATGGGGGTGGGGTACAGTACTGGGAACTAAAGCCAAGGCCTCTGCACTGAGCTATCTCCCCAGTTTCCAGCCATCTTCTTTTTCTTTCCTTTTTTTATGTAAGTACTGGGGATTGAACCCAGGTACTCTATCGATGAGGTATATCTCCAATCCTTTATTTTTTGAGACAGAGTCTCACTAAGTCATTAAGTTAACTAAGCTGATCTGGAACTTGAAATCCTCTGGCCTCAGTCTCCCAGAAGGCTGGGATTACAGATGTGTGCCAACACGCTCAGCTAAGGGACTATGGATGCCCCTCTCAGCTAGACCCAGTTTGAGTGTCTGTCACTTGCAATGAAGACTCTGGTGCATGTTGGGCTTGCAGACCAGTTTGTTAGGTCCAGAAAGCACTCATGTGCTCCACCCCTCCTGGGTCCAGAGTCAAGGGGAGGGTTCCACTTGGCCCAGAGTCAGAGTGGCCCTGAGGACACAGCCCATCTTGGTTGAGAGCTACTCCGGGAGGGGACACTGTCCCCCCACCCCACTCACACTATCACTGCCACCCAGGCACAGCCAGACTGTGGAAGACCTGCGGAGTGGGGAAGCCAGACCCAGGGCTGCAGGTGTCAGGGTCCAGTGGCCTCCAGAGACTCGGCCCTGGAGGAGGACCCCAGGATCCCAGAGGCCTGCTTGGATGTAAAGGAACATCACCAGGCAACCTCGGGGACTCTGGGCTCGGGCCACATGCCTGGCACTGTGCTTCTTTCAGTCTGCACACTTCCATGAGCACAGGACTGCTGCTCCCACTTCACAGACAGAGGCACAGAGAGGTTCAGTGACTGCTTATGCCAACACAGCTAGGAAAAGACACAGCTAGGAAAAGCCTTCCTCCTGCCCATGACCCTCAAGGTGCCAACACCCAGAAAACCCATCACAGCTCAAAAGGCCAGCTCTTCCTAACCTCTCCCCACAAGGCCCAGGACGGGGGCCGGTGTGGGGGGGTTGCCAAGTCGACCTCATCAGAGGATAGGGCTGCTGCTCTGCTCTGCAGGAGCAAGTCAGGCAGCAGGATTCGAGAGGCCTGCTCAGGAAGCCCTGTGAGCCGCCCGTATCTCTCTCCCCTCCACCTCCCAGGCAGGACTGTGTTCTCCCCACCAGACACACACTGGATGGAGCAGGGATCCCAGCTGAGGAACTGCTGGAGGCTGGGCCTGGGGTGCAGGGAAGACCCCTCCTTGATGGAACTGACCTGTGGCATCCCTAGGCCCACCTTGTTCTTGAGGGAGCATTAGACACCCCCGCTGTCACAGGCGCATACAGGTGCCCACTTCCTCAGCCCAACTGCACTAGCAGGAACCCCAGCCTGGCTTACTCTGGCTGAGCTCAGCAGGACCTGGAGGGACCCAGGCCTGGGCCCTGGTGGCCTCAGAAATGGGAAGTGGGGGCCCTGGGGTGTGAGGAGCAGGCAGGGCTATGGAGAGGAGAGAGAGGCCCCATCGGGCCCCTGGGCGTCCAGGCAATCACCCTGTGGCAGCTAAAAGCCACACGCTCACTCGCCTCCCTGGCCTACTCAACCTCTTGGCTCCTGGGCTCCTGAGACAGGGAGGGAGGGGGCCAACAAGCAGATTCTCCCTC